ATATATATATATATATATATATATATATATATATATATATATATATATATATATGTGGACGCACTGTATATATCTCATGCACCATACACCATGCACCATCTCATACCTCATGCACCTTTTCTTCCTATGGCACCTTTTGATTATTTCAGCTGATGTAACGAGTACATTTCTTCACTGTAAGATCAATAAATTAAATAAATCATTAAATCAATCAAGATGACTAGAGTTCAGAAGAAACTGGAACAAGTTGAATCCTAATACCATCATGAGAGAAGAAGAGGTGTATAAATACTCCAAAATATTGTACTGCCCAATGTCATATGCTCCCTGTTCTGTAGGTGTTTTCATTTTATCATTAAATACCTCTAATTCCCATGGCCATCTCAAGTTTTTTTCTAAACATTGTAGCAGCAGTTTGTGTAAACAACTCAGATTTAGAGTGTATGCTACAATCTGTTGAAATCACGTGGTTTTCTAAGCTGATCACTTTAATTAATGTGCCTTTTTTGATACACAGGTACCCTTTAATATCTTGACCACTAGTCTTTGTAACTGAAGCCACTATCCCTGTTCATAACTACTCTGATTTAAGTTTCATTGACCTAGCTGTCTCTATTAATATAAAACAGACTTTATATTAGTATTTTAACCAATTTCTAGTAACTCCACTTGGGTACAATATAAGTTTTTAAGCTAAGGCAGGTATAGGGGGTTTATGTGCCTTTCCATGACTCAGTGTTTGTGTTGTGGATATACAATGCAGTCTTACTATGTAAAAATATACAGATAATTTAAATGTTAATATTGTATCCTTATTATTAGATCAGTTTATATAGTTGTCATATTTAAAGATTTATATAAAAAATAATTTCACTCTTCCTATGTCACTAAAAAGTGTTCTTTAGTCTGTGGCTTGTACATTTATATAGAAGTACTGCTGTAATCCGTTCAAAACTGCTAAAGAACTGCTAAAAATAATATTTACAGAATTAAATGTGGATTGTGAAAAATGTATCTATTTAATCGTTGGTTAAAATCGAATTAAAAACCTATTAAATTATCAATTTATGTAGATATTAGTACTTGTAAATATCAATTTAAAGCAGAATGATATTGATAAAAGTAGGTAAGTAACTATTTACCTTTGGTTTTGCTTCAGTAGGCCACAAGAGAAGGGATTTGTTTATTTTTGTTTCTCAAGAGTATTCGGTTTGGAAATTTGTTGACGGTCCCTAAGTGAATCGCTGCGCTTGAGAAGAGGGAGCAACAGAGAACGGTTGGCCGAAGTCTGACCTGCTGAATCGGATCCACTGAGCGATAGGTGGCGCTAAATCGGCGGAGCTTGAATCATTAATCAACTTCAGACCAACTTCAGCGCGGTCCCCGGTCACTCCTTGAAGGGGGAAATGCGGAACAATGCACCTGAGGATGGCGTGAAAAAAGTTCACCTTTATCACCAGTTTTAATAGTGAGTTTTTCCTTTCTATCTCTCTTTCTATAACATTGAGTAAGGAGCTGTCTTTCTTCCGCAAGGCGAGGCATCATTAGTGGTAAGGGAGGGAGGAGGGAAGTATGCTGCTGAGGGCACCCCCACAGGAAATAAATCTATTCTTTCACAGCCTCCCACCGACACGCAGGAGATACACAGACAGCCCTCATTTCCCACGCTGTTCATGTAAGTTAGTGAAACCTTTTTAAAATGATGCACCTTATCAAGAGAATTTATATTAATTGTGTTGATTTAATTTATTTCCGGGCCGCGTTCGACTAGCGCATAATTGAATCATCAGTAAAGATTGAATTGCAATGATTGCAGGAGCTTTCCTGGACTTTTTATAAAGTAAATTATAGGACTTTACTTGCATTTGTTGATTTTTAATGTGCGGGTAATGCAATTATGTTTGCAAGTTTTTAACTTGATCAAATTTGCCCTATGTTGTTTTTTTATTCTATTATTTTTATTTACTACTTCTGTAAAGATGGTCCCCTGCACTTGAAGAAATCTTATGTTTGTTGCTAAGGTTTTAAACTTTTTATTTTATCTCAGAAGTAATGTTTGTCAGTTTTTATTAGTTTATTGCAGTAAACTAATAGGCAGACTCTTTGAAGCTGTGCTGGAAAACCGACAATCTTATGGACAGATGCTGTCAGAATTTTCCTGATTTTGATTTCTGATGCGTAAGGTGGCACAGAGTTTATTGCATCAACTGGTATGTGCAGAGGCGTAACCAGAAAATTTTTATAAGGCGAGGCAATAACCAATGTACACTGAGGGGTGGCCGAGAGCAGATGGGTGCCAGAACCTCTGGGTCAATCTACACCGTTCCAAAAGGAAAATGAACATCAATCCATATTTTCTTAATAAAGACAAACTGTACTTTCCTACAGCCTTTGTTAACAAATAGACACTGTTGTCAGAAAATGTAGATTTCTCTTTTAATTATATATTAATTTATCCTATTTACTCACTATAAAGTTTTCACTCGGTCTATTTCACTTTCAAAGCCACACCATTCTCTGCGGGATGGTGTTTGTAGACCAGACATACCTTCTTCCCAAAACAAACTAGATTCTTTCTCAAGGTTTATTCATAACATGTTACTGTTTAACCAAAGTGTCTGTAATTTGTTTTGAATTTGACTACTTTTCCATTGTTGTAACTAAAGGGGAATGAACGCTGCTCATGCAGAACAGGGTGTTGATTACATTTATTTATTTGTTTTTTTTTTTATGGAGAAGAAGAGGACTTTGAGACTTTAATTTTCCAGTATTTGATTTCTAATAATTTTTAAATCTGTTAACAACCTGTTGTTTTGTAAATTAGTTTTTGAAATTTAATTTAAACTGGGCTGACAAAAGATTAATCTCACCGTCTCAAAAAGAAATGGTTAGTTTTGATCCTCCTGCTGACCTCCAGGAACCTCGATGCCAGAAGTCCTCACACCCTTAACCTTCTAAACGGGGTATTGAGGCTGGAAGACTGCTTCCTCCAGGTGGTACCAACACTTCTGACAAACGCTGTCCTCAGAAAAAATCAGTCAAGGAGAATCCTGCTTTGACAACACAAAATTGTAGTGGGAAAAAGGATTCAACTATTCACCCTAGTTAAATAAATGGAGATCGATGGATTTCACTCAGTCGGCACATTTATTCATATCTTTGCAAAGAGAAAACAGCTCATCGTACAGCCCTAATGGTAAAGCATTCTGCCCTGTTCTGCATGAGCAGCGTCCGTTCCCCTTTACTTACAACAATGGAAAAGTAGTCAGAGTCAAAACAAATAACGGACTTTGGTTAAACAGTAACATGTTATAAATAAACCTTGAGAAAGAATCTGATTTGTTATGGGAAGAAGCAATGTTTGGTCTACAAACACTATCCCGCAGAGAATGGTGTGGCCTTGAAAGTGAAACATACCAAGTGAAAACTTTTATAGTGAGTAAATAGGATAAATGAATATATAATAGAAGAGAAATCTAAATTTTCTGACAACAATACTAAGCCATACCAGATTTTCAACCAAGAGGCATTTGTTTGATCATTGGTAATTACAGCCTGTCTACTTGTTAGACATCTAACTGAGTAAAATGATTTCCCCTCCTTCCTTTTTATTTCTGTGTGTGCTGTTCGTCAACTATTTTCTCTTCATCTAAAAGCAAAACAGCCTTTAAAGTTAACTGACTGTAAGATTAGGTACAGCTGGTTTCTAACTGAATGCTTTTTGAATTACACAATGTTTACATTATCATTATCACAGAAAACCTGAACAAGAATGATGACAGGACTTCTGTTGTGATTGGCTAGTCTCCCACTTCGAGCTAAGTTACAGGAAGTGAGAACAGCTGTTTGAGCTGCACTTTTACTGTGTGAATAGGAAAGCTTATTTTTAGATTTCAGTGCAGATCATAATAGAGGAGGGGGGTTGGAGTTTAGTGGAGTGGAGGTGGTTTTGGAAAAGCTGGGATTAAAATTACCAACAATACCCTAAGTAGTTGTTGAAAATAAAGGAAGATTTTCTTATCTTAACCAGTTATCATTAGCTTCAGCTCTCCAGAAAATGTTTCCAGGTACTCAAACACAGGAGACTTGCTACTGCTCATGGGTTATGCACCCTTCCCCTGCCCAATTGCCATTTCCCATGGAGCTGACTAAGAATACTCCTAAGAGGTCATTGCTGACTAAATCAGGTAGTCATCAAAGAACATCCGCAAAGCACCGTAGCTTCACTTGTCAAAGTTTCAGCTTTCCTGAATTTCTAGATCAGCAGTTTTTTTACACCATGAGAGCTCCAAGTATAAACAATAAGTGCTGATCCAACATGTATGGTGTGAAACATCATAGTATTTGGTAGAGAAAACCTGTCAGCCAACTTTTTTTGACTTAATCCTAGTTTGTTTTCCTGGGTGAATTGATGTGTTTTGCTACACAGCAGAAAATCCTGAAGGAGAATCTCCACCTGTCCATTTGTAATCTGAATCCCCTATACAGTAGGGTAATGATATAAAAGCACTTAGCAAGTCCACTTCTGACTAGTTCAGATAAACAACATTAAGATGTTAGAATGGCCAAACAAACTTCCTGACTTGGATACAGTGGACCAACTCTACACCCTCAGCAAAGTGCTTGAGGGTTCATGTGAGTTTGTCCAACAGTTCCACATGTGTTGTAGACCTGGAGCTAGGCCCATAACCTTTCCCAGACAGTAGAAACACCTTGTTCTTTTCCCAAATCTTTCCTCTTCTATCCTTTATTTCAACTCTCCTTTAGAGTTTTAATGTGGATCGTACCCCTATCTAACTACAGTCCTTCTACTGTAAACATGGGATTGTGCTCTTCTTGGAGAAGATCAGAAATGGTATTAAAAAAAAAATAATTTAAACTTAAAATTTAAGGTTAAATTTATTCCACAGATCACGATTAATACCTCATACTCGCAACTCCATCTCAGATTTTAATTTTATAGTAAATGTTAATGCATGCATATTTGCAAACATATTTCCCTCCCATATATTTTTGCCCCAAAAACAACTTTGCACAATATTTTCCACTGTTTATTCTTTGCTTGTGAATATTTTGCAGTCATTCTTAAAATGATCATATCATAGGTACACCTAAAAACTTCCATTGGAAGCAAGATGAATTTCTGCAAGATGGGCATGCTTTGGTGGCACAGTTGTTAGCGCACATGACCCATGTATGGAGGCCTTAGCCCTTGATACGGCAACCCAAGTTCGAATCCCGCGTGTTTTCCTTTCCCGCATGTCTCTCCCCCTCTCTCATACCCCTTTCCTGTCAGCCTACTGTCCATAAAAATGAGCCACTCATACCGTAAAAACTCAAAAAAAAAAATAATAATAATAATATTCTGCAAGATCTGTGAATTCACAGGATCACCAAAATACATCTTGCCAGAAGCCAACAGATTGATTAGCCTGGATACAAAAATGTTTTGGACCAATAAAATGCAGTGACATGTACGACATCAACACTGCTTTTAGCTGCAGTACCCTTTATTTCTCTTTGAAAAACAAGTGAAATGATGCAAATAGTTTCTTTCAGAATGGAAAAGATGTTTGCTACATTACACCTATTTAATGTTTTATGCTCAATCGAAGTCAGATGGAAAACTACAATATCTGACTCCCAGCATGCTTTGTTATAATTTAGATTGTGATATGGGTATCCACTTGTACAGTATAAGGGTTTTTTTTCTCTACAGGACCAGCATGTGAAATTACTAAGCAAAGTATGTTTTAGAACAAACTATCTAAACACCCATCCTCTTTAGAACCTGATTATCTTGATGTATCTGTATATTACATCTACATCAGCAAAAAAAAAAAAAAAAAAAAAGGGATTCTAAGCTATTCCTATTTTAGCTATATCTGTCTTAATTTACCATTAGGCCTATAAAACAACAAAATCCAATAAATTAATTTAGTTATGACCCTATAACAATACTGTTGTTTAGTTTATACATTTGACATATATATATATATATATATATATATATATATATATATATATATATATATATCCATAGATGCGAAACAGATGTTTGGTTTTATTCAC